CCCCGATTTTTTTTTTTTTTTTTTTTAACTCTCCTGAGCATCAAAAGGAAGAAATCTCTGGGCCAGCAAAAATATCTGATGGACATGGTTTCTAATCCAAAGAGAATATTGTAGGATACTGAGAATACAGAGGATATAATATTTTACTGCACTCTCTTCTTACCTGCATGGTTTCTGAAGAGAAGTCCGATGTAGTTCTTACCCTTATTCCTCTATGGGTGAGGTGTGTTTATTTCTTTGACTTCTTTCAAGATTTTCTCTTTGACTCTCTGCATTTTGAATATGATATGCTTAGGTATAGGATTTTTTGGTCTTCATTCTGCTTGGTGTTCTCCAAGCTTCCTAAGTCTGTGCTTTGGCTTTGGTCATTAGTTTTGGAAAACTTTTAGCCATTACTACTTCGAATGTTTCTTCTCTTCTCTCATTCTTCTCCTTCTGGTATTCCCATTAAGTATATGTTATACTTTTTTAGTCCCATGGTTCTGAGATACTCTGTTCTTTTTTTCTTTGCTTTGTCACACACTGGGATTCCAACAACTCTGCCATATATGAATTTGTTTCTGATGCTTGACTTGCTATATCTTCTCAAACTGTGTTTTTGCCTTTTAGCATGTCTTTAATTTTTTGTTGGAAACCAGACATGATGTATTTGGCTTTTTAAAAAAACTGAGTTAAATAGGCCTTTAGTATAAGAATTTTTGCCTGTTTGGCTAGGAGTTATGTTTAGTGTTTGCTGTAGCCTAGGTGTCAGGTTAAAATTTTCTCTGGTGTCTTTGTTTTTGAATGCCCTATTGTCTTTGAGTTTCCCTAGAATACCCATTCTTAAATAGCATTTGAACATTGCCTAACTCTGTATTTTCTTCTAAGAGTTAGTTTTATAGTTTAGCTTTTATATTTATGTCGATAGTCCAGTTTGACTTGATTCTTGTGGATGATGTGGGGAAAGGATCCAACTTCAGTCTTTTGCATGGGCTGTTCAGTGGTCTCAGCACCACTGAAAGGACCATTCTTGCTAACATTGAATTGTTTTTGCCAGCCTTATCAAAAATCAGTTGACCATAAATGTGTTTATTTCTGGATTCTGAACTCTTATTTCATTGACCTATATGTCTATTTTTGCTGGTATCCTGCCGCCTTGATTACTATAGCTTTGTCATAAGTTGGATTTTTTTTATTGTTTTTGTTTGTGTGTGTTTTTTTGTTTGTTTGTTTTTTTGAGACAGAGTCTTGCTCTGTTGCCTGGGCTAGAGTGCCATGGCGTCAGCCTAGCTCACTGCAACCTCAAACTCCTGTGCTCAAGCAATCCTCCTGTCTCACCCCCTCAAGTAGCTGGGACTACAGGCGTGCATCACCACACCCAGCTAATTTCTTTCTATTTTTAGTAGAGGCAGGGTCTCACTCTTGCTCAGGCGGGTCTCGAACTCCTGACCTCAAGCAATCCTCCCACCTCAGCCTCTCAGAGTGCTAGGATTACAGGCATGAGCCACCGTGCCCAGCCACACCTCATGTTTTTGTTCCCACTTCTCAGTTTTCACTTTTTCAAATTATTCTCAACAGGTGTGACTTAGAGTTTATATATTTTAGAAGTATACAAAAGTAACTCTGAATACTAGGCTTTGGTGTGAAGAAGCCTGAGAATCATTTTTAATGAAAATACTGTATTGCATTTTCTGATTTTAAGAGTAATAAATGCTTTTTGCAAAAACAAAAACGCTAAACATACAAGACAGAGTCTACCTGTAATCCCATCCCTGGATATAAACACTAGCAAGGTAACATAACATGTTATAAATCTTCTGTTGTAGCTCCTGCAGGAGCCTGTGGTGTTGTGCTGGCACCTCCTACAGGGATAGCAGCAAGTTCTAGGGCTGTCCTCTTCACTGTAGGGTCTCCTCCACATAGTGCCATGGCCCCCACTTGTACCCACATGGTCCTTCGAACAAGAACAACCTCAGGTGAGGAATGTTTGCCATATGGCAGTCTTTGGCTACTATCTGAAGCTCAGTGTTCTGGTAATGACCCAGTGTTGTAAGTTAGACCGATCCTTCAACTTCTCTGGGCTTCAGTTTCTTTACCAGTGAAATGGAAAAACTATTTTCTTTATTTTATTGGGTTATAAGAAGTAATGAGGCAACATTTATGAGGGGGAAAAAAAACTTTGTAAAGTAAAAGTGCTATATTAAAATATTGTAAACATATATATTATGTATACTTATATAATATATTTTAAAATGCAAATACAACTGAAGGCTATTTTAGTAGATCCAATAAATTGTTTGAAAATAAGTTTTTGGTTTTATTTTTCTACTTTGGGTCCTAGTCTTTGCACTTTAATCCTATATACATTTAGATAGATTTATTTTATCATTTATACTCCATAAATAGGTTATTAATATCAAAAATTTAAAAAGCATTTAGGTTGGACTTGAAATTAGTAATTTGACATCATCATATACAGTGTACCTTGTGTCCTTTAAGTTCTCTTATTCTAAATAAGTTGTTAATAAAGGTATCAGTAAATTAATAAGCATAAGATAATAAAGGATAGGCAAAGTATAATCTTTGTCCTAAAAACATTATAACTTTTTATTTTCAAAGCTTGCTTTTCCTCACATGATAAAAATAATGCACTTAAACTTAGGTTTAAAAAAATATTAAACCATAATGCTAGATTAGTCAGTAACAGTGAGAAATGTACCTGCCAAGCAGACTGGATGCTCATGTTTGGAGATCAGTACCTTCCCTCCATGGAGCCAGATCTACTGAGAAAGTAGAGCTAAAATCTTATTTTTTAGATCATTAAAAATCTTAAATAATAAGAAAATATTTTAAGAAAGTAGCCTTTTAAATCTAACTACACTGACATTTTTAAAAAGTAAAATGCCCAGTGCTGTTGAGGTTTAGTGGGATCTATGTGCTTACTTGCGATGCATTGGAAAGTAATGTAGGGCAATTCTTAGGAAGAGCTGTAAAAATGTTATAATATTTGATATGATTATTTCCTTCCGGTTTGTAATACCAGTTTGGAGTATTTATCAAAAAGAAATCACTCAAAAGAAGGAAAAACCGTATCTCATTCCTGTTGTTATTCGTAATATGAAAAAATATCAGAAATAGTATAAATGACTCGAGATAAACATTATGTATATAACTTTAGTGAGCCACTATGTGTGCATTGAGTTTTATAATTGTGAGGCCTATGGAGCAACAAGGAGAAATTAATATGATATAAATTTGTATAAAACAATTATAAAAAACTAGCTGTGATGATGTCTCATATATGCATATGGACAAGGAATAAAAGTGAACATGGAAAAATCAAAACTATTTATGACCTCAAATCATATGCAGGAGATCAGTGACTTTTCTTTAACATTTCCTTTATCACTTCAGCAGGTTTTGTTCAGTAAGTGAGAGTAGGAGTGGGTGTGAAAGCCCCAACTCTGACATCGACGCGTGTCCTGTGCTTCCTTGCAGTGGGGTCCAGCAGCTCAGGAGGCTCTCTGTGCTCTGCGAGTGGCCGCGTGTGTGTGGGCTCCCCACCTGGCCCAGGCCTGGGCTCTTCTCCCCCAGGAGCAGAGGCAGCTCCCAGCCTGAGATACGTGCCTTATGGTGCCTCACCCCCTAACCTAGAGGGCCTCGTCAGCTTTGAAGCCCCTGAACTGCCGGAGGAGACGCTGATGGAGGTAGAGAAGAGACCATAGTAGCGTGTTAATGCGATGTTAAAGCGATATGAGAATGTTCTAGTGATGTCAAAAGAACAGAATACACAGTTATGTTCTTCTCTTTAACTTCTTTGACTTTCCTGTTTGAAAAACATTGCCACTCTGTGTTCAGAATAATGTTGACAGTGACACTCAAAAACAAGCTTTGGTTCACAGGAGGTGACAGATAGGTTGTAGGATATTTAAAATGTTTGCTTTTCTTCACAAGATAAAAACAATACACTTAAACCTAGGTTTAAAGTAATAAACCATAATGCTAGATCAGTCACTGACACTGAGAAATAGACTTGCCAAGCAAACTGGATGCTCACGTTTGTAGATTGGGGCCTTGCCTCCACAGAGCCAGTTGTACAGGGAAAATCTGTAGAACTGAGGCATGAAATCTGAAGCATGCTGAGTACAAATCCAGAACAAGAAGGACTCAGGGCCAACACTCAGTGGAATAACGTGTCTTCGGTCCCTGGATGCAACACTGACTTAGCCCGATGTTTAAATTAAAATGATCTCTCCATGTAGGATCCCTAATATTTCTGTTTTGTGTGAATAAGAATTAAATGTATCACATAAAATTTACAAAATATTGCATGCAAAATTTTAGTAATGATTTTATAGTAAATTCACAATATATTTGAAAAGGTCTAATTCAGTCTAAACTTGGAAAAAAACAATTCTGAGTTTTTTCAGTCTCCATCAAATTAGGTATAAATTATGTTCTATTACCTGTTCAGTGTATTGGAACATATAGTCTAATATGCTGTCACAGAGCAGAAAGACTTTTAAAAAGTTGATTTATTCTCATCTCTAGGAAAATGGTTTCCATCTTTAACTTTGAAAGAGGAAGAAAATTTTAGTTTTATTTGAGATTACAAAACATATTTACAACTAAAAATCTCAAAACAACATTAATATTAGAATACGCATTTTTAAATGACACCTCTCTGGGTGCTGTTATATCAAACTATACTCCCCTCTTTAACTAACTGAGAAGGTTGCAGAAATTTAGATATTTGACATTAGGAATCACTGTTAACTAGAAAAGTGTCAGAAATTAAAATAAACATCTGAAATTATAAGAATTATAAAATTCATAAACCAGTAAGAAGTGTGATTTAGTGCACAGAGAATATCATCATAATCTTGATGCCTATTTTGTAGAAAAGCATTAGCAATGGCCATGGTTTGTATACAGAAATGAGTATGTTCTTATTCTTAATCTAGAAATTTTGCCTTTGCTGCAGCGAGAGCACACAGATACCTTACGTCATCTGAATGTGATGCTGATGTTCACTGACTGCGTGCTGGACCTGACAGCTGTGAGGGGAGGAAACCCTGAGCTGTGCACATCCGCTGTGTCCTTGTACCAGATTCAGGAGAGTGTGGTCGTGGACCAGATCAGTCAGCTGAGCAAAGACTGGGGGTAGGTTCCCCCTCTGTATTCATTTCTGGATTCCTTGTGCTTTCTCTAAATTCGTGTCTGATGTAGGAATTGTCATCCACTGAAGATCATATCTCATTATTAAAAGCTTCAAGGAAGCCTCTAAGTTACATCATTGTACTGTATTTCACTTTATGAGCCAAGACTTGGATCTTAGGCAGTCTTAGTGTTGCCTCTTCCCTGTAAATTGCACTGTTGAGGATATTTGATGATAAAGAGATTATTGATTTTTATCTGAGTGTACCTGTTGTTTTCAAAGTACACACATCCTTTTCCATCCCTTCAGGAGAAGGGATGCTCTGTGCATTATCTGTGCATTAAGAAACTAAGGAGGATGCTATCTCTTTAGAAAGGCTATTTAAAAAAAAATTTTTTTTTATATTTTAGAGGCAGGGTCTCACTTTTGCTCAGGCTGGTCTTAATCAGTCCTCCTGCCTGGGCCTCCCAGAGTGCTAGCATTATAGGCGTAAGCCACCACACCCGGCCTAGAAGGCTATGGTAATGGTGATCTGATGTGTGGAGCTCCAGGTCTTACTGGTTCACAAGATAACACTCTGCTACTGTCTTCTGGGTGCAGGCGGGTGGAGCAGCTGGTATTATACATGAAAGCAGCACAGCTACTTGCGGCTTCTCTGCATCTTGCCAAGGCTCAGATCAAGTCTGGTAAACTGAGCCCATCCACAGCTGTGAAACAAGGTATGAGAGGAGATGATAGTGCATGATTCCAGAGTCCTTGTGTTGCTTCCCTGTCATACCAAGAGAAGAAGTTTTTGATGAGGAATCCCTGTGTTATTCAATATGCATTTCTTTTTTTAAGAGACAGGATCTCACTGTTACCCAGACTGGAGGGCAGTAACATGATCATAGCTCACTGGAGCCTCAAATTCCTGGGCTTAGTGATCCTTCTGCCTCAGCCTCCCGAGTAGCTGGGACTATAGGTGTACACCAGCACACTTGGGTAATTCCTTTTTTTTTTTGAAACAGAGTCTCACTCTGTTGCCTAGGCTAGAGTGCCGTGGCATCAGGCTAGCTCACAGCAACCTCAAACTCCTGGGTTCAAGCAATCCTCCTGCCTCAGCCTCCCGAGTAGCTGGGACTACAGGCATGCGCCACCATGCCCGGCGAATTTTTTCTGTATATATTTTTAGTTGGCCAATTAATTTCTATTTTTAGTAGAGACGAGGTCTCACTCTTGCTCAGGCTGGTTTCGAACTCCTGACCTTGAGCGATCCACATGCCTTAGACTCCCAGAGTGCTAGCTAATTCTTTTTTTATATGTAGAAACAGTGTCTCACTGTGTTCCCAGGCTGGTCTCAAACTCCTGGCCTCAAGGGATCATCCCACCTCAGCTCCCAAGTAGCTGGGATTATAGATGTGAGCTGCCATGGCTGGCCTAAATATTCTTAATAGGGGGAAAATGCTGAGTTATTAGTTTTTCATCTAACTGATTTAGAGAGAAGTCAGAAGTGCTTTATTCTCAATCTTTCTATACTAAAAGAGAGAACATATGAAAGAATCCAATTTCCAGGTATTTTTTTTCAATGATCATTTATTGTCACCTTCCTTATACCAGCAGGACAGGTTTATACATGTCACTATGCCTTTATTTCTGGGGGAAAACTAAAATTAGTTCCCGTCTCAACTTTTTTTCAGTTGTCAAAAATCTGAATGAACGCTATAAATTCTGCATCACCATGTGCAAGAAACTTACAGAAAAGCTGAATCGCTTCTTCTCTGACAAACAGAGATTTATTGATGAAATCAACAGTGTAACTGCAGAGAAGCTCATCTATAATTGTGCTGTAGAAATGGTAACCCTTTTGAAGGTTTAATATTGTATAGCACTACTTATCTTTAAGAGTATCTTTTGGGTTGAATGGCTGCTTGACAATTTCTCCTGTTTAAGAAATTCTGATTTGATAAAACTATAGAAAAAATACTGCTTTGTTAACCAATCCACAAAAACTCTGGTTCTACTTACCTTATTAAAGCATAAATATAAAGTAAAATCTACTTTTCCAATTGATTATAATATTGGAAATATTTTGTTTTCTGTCTCTACTAGGAGAAAATGTTTCTGAAGTATAGGTAAAATAGGGGCTGATAAAGAAGTGGTTAGTGCGGAGACTTATTAGCCAGTCTTATTGTTACCATAGTGACATAGATCCTCCCCTATTTGCTTTGAACTGTACAGTTGTACTATGCCCTTGGTCTTACTTTGAAATCCATTAGAATAATTATGAAAATAACTTTGGAATATAAACTATTGACGAGAATAATATACATTATGTTACTCTAAACTGTTTATGCTGAATTAAGACTTCATATGATACATTTTTTAGAATTTTGTACTGGGGAAAATGTCCTCTTCTAAGAAATTATAATAGTGCTTTCTTACTTATAATAAGAGCCTTGTAACTTCAATAAGTTCCTCCTTGTGCACTGGCTGCTTAGTAAGCTTAGAGGTATTAGCCCTTTGTTTGTTTATTAGGTTGGTGCAAAAGTAATTGTAGTTTCAGACCGTGAATTTTAAATCATTATAACTATAGCCAGGTGCGGTGGCTTACGCCTGTTATCCCAGCACTTTGGGAGGCTGAGGTGGGAAGATCACCTGAGGTCAGGAGTTCAAGAACCAGCCTGAACAAGAGTGAGACCCCTTCTCTATTAAAAATAGAAAAAACTAGCTGGACATGGTGCTGCACGCCTATAGTCCTAGCTACTCAGGAGGCTAAGGAAGCAGGATAGCTTGAGCCCAGGAGTTTGAAATTGCTACGAGCTAGGCTGATGCCACGGCACTCTAGCCCAGGTGACAGAGCGAGACTCTGTCTCAAAAAAAGAGGAACCTTTACAATCAACACATTTTTGCCAACAAGAAATAAGTTTGTTTATTCCTGTAGCATAAAAATCCTACCTTGGGGATTTAATGAACTCTTGGAAAGCATTTTCTGCATCCTGCTGGTTGTGGAAGCGTATTCCCTGCAAAAGTTGTTGAGGTGCTTAAAGAAATGATAGTGGGTTGGCGAGAGGTCAGGTGAATATGACGGATGAGGCAAAATTTCATAGTCCAATTTGTTCAACTTTTGAAGTGTTGGTTGTGCCATGTGAGGTCAGGTGTTGTCATGGAGAAGAATTGGGTCCTTTCTGTTGACCGATGCCAGCTGCAGGCATTGTAGTTGTCAGTGCATCTCACTGATTTGCTGAGCAGACTTCTCAGATGTAATGAGACTCAGAAAGCTGCAGTGGATCAGAATGGCAGCAGACTACCAAACAGTGACCATGACTGTTTTTGGTACAAGTTTGGCTTTGGGAAGTGCTTTGGAGCTTCTTCTCAGTCCAACCACTGAGCTGATCCATTGCCAGCCATTGTATAAAATCCACTTTTTGTTGCCCATCACAATCCGATTGAGAAGTGGTTCATTGTTGTTGCATACAGGAAGAGATGATAACACTTCAAAATGATTTTTTTTTTTAGTTTTGATCAGCTCATGAGGCATCCACTTATTGAGCTTTCTCACCTTTCCAATTTGCTTCAAATGCCAAACGACTATAGAATAGTTGACCTTGAGTTCTTTGACAACTTAGAGGATCAGCTTCAGTGATTGCTCTCAATTGGTGGTTGTCAACTTCTGATGGCCGACCACTGCACTCATCTTCAAGGCTCTTGTCTCCTTTGCAAAACTTCTTGAACCCCCACTGCACTGCACTGCATGTTCATTCGCAGTTCCTGGGCCAGATGTGTTGTTAATGTTGTGAGTTGTCTCTGCTGCTTTATGACCCAAATAAGAAAATTACTCAGATGTGTTTTTTGTCTAACATCATTTCCATAATCTAAAATAAATATAAAATAAACAACAAGTAATAAGTCATTAGCAAAAAAACATAAAGTGAGTAATGCATATTAAAATGATGTATAGGACCAGGTGTGGTGGCTCACACCTGTAATCCTAGCTCTCTGGGAGGCTGAGGTGGGCGGATCGCTCAAGGCCAGGAGTTCGAAACCAGCCTGAGGTGTGTCCGCACGTACCACGGGAGCATGTGCCGGCCTCTGACTGGAGGCCGTGGTGGTGGGAGCTGGAGCTGCCTGCAGAGCCCTTGAGAGGGAGAAGAGGCAGCGGCTACCCTGAGAAACCTCGACCTTGAAGATGGTGAGTAGCCAGCCAAAGTACAATCTCATAGGGGAGGGAGGCCGACGTAGTTACGGTGTTATGTAATGAAGCAGTCCTCAGAAAGACCTCTGCACGGGTGGCAGTGAAGAAAATTCGATGCACGCACCTGAAAATGTTGAACTAGCCCTTCGTGAGTTCTGGGCACTAAGCAGTGTCAAGAGCCAACATCCAAATGTGATTCACTTGGAGGAATGCATTGTACAAAAAGATGGGATGGTGCAAAAGATGTCCCAAGAATTAGAAGGCTCTAAAGAATTAGAAGGCTCTAATTCTTCCCTTTATTTACAGCTTGTAGAGACTTCATTAAAAGGAGAAATTTCCTTTGATCCCAGAAGCAACTATTTGTGGTTTGTGATGCATTTTTGTGACGGAGGAGATATGAGTATCTGTTGTCCAGAAAACCAATCATAAAACTAACACCAGCTTTATGCTTCAGCTGAGTAGTGTCCTGGCCTTCTTGAATAAAAACCAGGTCATCCACCGAGATCTTAAGCCTGATAACATCCTGACTTCTCAAAGCAGGTTGGGTACCAGTGACTTGGAACCCACACTGAAAGTGGCTGATTTTGGTCTAAGTAAAGTCTGTTCAGCCTCTGGGCAGAACCCAGAAGAACCTGTCAGTGTAAACAAGTGTTTTCTTTCCACGGCATGTGGAACAGATTTCTACAGAGCTCCTGAAGTGTGGGAAGGACATTACACAGCAAAACCTGATATCTTTGCTCTTGGGATTATCATCTGGGCAATGCTGGAAAGGATCACATTCATAGACACAGAGACAAAGAAGGAACTCCTAGAGAGTTATGTAAAACAAGGAACTGAGATTGTGCCTGTTGGGGAAGCACTTCTGGAAAATCCCAAAATGGAACTTCTCATTCCTGTGAAGAAAAAGTCTATGAATGGGCGAATGAAACAACTGATTAAGGAAATGCTGGCTGCAAACCCTCAGGATCGTCCAGATGCTTTTGAACTAGAACTCAGATTAGTACAAATTGCGTTTAAAGATAGCAGTTGGGAAAGGTGACACATTATTTGGAAATATCTTGGATGATACGCTGCTTCTGTTTTCACAGTGATGCAACATTATATGGCTGAAAAAGAATATAAAAAGCTAAACTCCACCTTCTAAGGGTTTAGATTTTGTAGGGTGTTTTTTCCCCTCACTTTTCTTAAATCCAAGCTGGCCATTTTATTAGTATGTTTTAAATGTATAATACCAATGTGGGTATAAATTTTTTTTTTTAAAAAAGTTTGGCAGGAAAATTCTCTAAGAGCCAAGAAAAGAAGAGAGTTTAGTTTTTTAGAAATATATCTCTAAGTATTTTAGACATTCCTCATCAGTATTAGGAATTTCCATGGAAGAAGAGGTTTGCATGCTGGTAATGCAACCTTTGAAACTTTGTAAAGGAAACATATATGTATATATTTATGTATATGTAAGTATGTGAATGTGTGCATTTTGCATTCCATATGAAGAAAATGCCACTTCTGTTTAAATTATTTGATGTAGGTTTGGGTTTTTGAGCTTTGCTGGTGAAAGCAATGATGAAAAATAAAGGAACCTTCCTTCTCTCATCTTCCTACCCTGTCCCTCCCTCTAATGAAATCATATTAATTTTTTTTCTATTTTTGTAATATTATATAACTTTTTTGAAAGGCATCATTTTGGAGGGTCTAAAATTACCTGATAAAACATAAATGAAATTAAAAAAAATAATAAACTAGCCTGAGCAAGAGCGAGACCCAGTCTCTACTAAAAAAATAGAAAGAAATTAATTAGCCAACTAAAAATATATAGGAAAAAAAATTAGCTGGGTATGGTGGCGCATGCCTGTAGTCCCAGCTACTCAGGATGCTGAGGCAGGAGGATTGCTTGAGCCCAGGAGTTTGAGGTTGCTGTGAGCTAGCCTGATGCCATGGCACTCTAGCCTGGGAAGCAGAGCAAGACTCTGTCTATAAATAAATAGAGTATAGCATAACCACATTTATTTAAGAATGTATTCCAATATCAAATGACAAGTTTCATTTGATATTGGATGCTAAATGCTAAAACTGCAATTTTTTGCACCAACCTAATATTTCTCCTTCCTTTTCATGGCTCTGATACTCTTTATCCATTTTATTTACTTTATTTTAAGCTGCTTTAAGTTATTTTTTGAAACAGCATATTAACAAGTAAATTAGAATACTAGATTACTGAGAGTACTGGCATTTAATGATTAAAGTGAAAATCAGAATGTTTTGAGAAAACGCCTGTGAATAATACTACATCCCCTCTTTCTGGAAAGCCTTTTCCATTTTTTCCTGTCACCTAGCTCATTCCTCCTTTTTTATGATTTAGCAGAAACACCACTTCCTAGAGGCCTTCCCTAGTTTTCTCCTCCCTCCATAATCTGGGTTGGATACACCTCCTCTATGTTCTGTACCACACAGCACTCCCTCCTCTCATACCATGTGCCCCTTGGAATTAGAATTACATGTTTTGCAAGCCGATGTCTCCCTCCAGACTACACAGTCTCCTTCATTGCATGCACAGTGCCTGGCACTTAGTAGGTGCTTAATAAGTATCTATGAATGAATGACTATACCCCCCAAATTCTTTGACTAGAAAAAGAAGCCAATGAGTGACTTTTAACATCATTTAATCATATTATTGTAACAAAATCTACTTTATGAAATGCCAGGTTTCCCTCTTGTGACAGTGTATGTTTAAAATAAACTTTTTGGTGAAGTTGTAGAAGAGCTAGTTTAGAAGGGTTCTGGTATAAGTCTTGTGAGTCAGGACTCTGGGTACCAGAAGGTTGTGTTTGCATGTAGAATAACTTGTCAAGAACGTGCCCTGTGTTTTGTTCATCCTGATGGATGTTTAAGTTTTAATATAGTTTGGTAGATTATATCATTTCATCAAAATATGTTAATTTTAGATATAGCCCCTTTAAAAATGCATCGTCCATACGGATTTGTATCTTCTTGGGAAAATTGAGAATCTTCTTGTTTTTGTTGACGGGTTGCAGGTTCAGTCTGCAGCCCTGGATGAGATGTTTCAACAGACTGAAGACATTGTTTATCGCTATCATAAGGCAGCTCTTCTTTTGGAAGGCCTAACTAAGATTCTGCAGGACCCTGCAGATATTGAAAATGTACATAAATGTAAGTTGACTTATAAAGTAGTATATTTATTGATTTTAATTTAGTTGTCACCTAAAGTAAAAGAGCTTGGACTTTGGAGTCATGCTGGCTAAGTTTGAATCTTGGCTTTCCAGCCTTGAGCAAATCACTTAACGTTTTCCTGGTCTCAGTTTCTTCTTTTGTAAGACAGCAATGACTGCCTTGTAGAGTTGCTGTGAGGGTTAGGGATGATGCATGTAAAACACTGATGTTTGTCACTAGTCTTTTACTTTGTCGGTAAGGGGGGGTGGTTCACACATGTAGGAAAACTTTGTTTTTATTACTGAATGCAACTATTTTAACTTCATGGCCTTAGTAACTGAAGAATCCTATGAAGATCCTATGTACTGCAGATTTGGCGTAGATAGCAGAGTGGAGACTTGTAGGAGACCAGGATGTTAGGATTACTTATCAAATAATAGCGCAGCTGTCTGGTTTTTAGGAGGAGGTAGTGAATCTCTTGGAGTATATGTGGGTATACCACATTTTGAATGGCCACAAGGGCATGGAAATCCTAAAATTATTTACAGCTGTCAGCAAGCTAGCTGTTAAAACCTAAATATTCCTTATATGATGCATTTACCTAAATTTTACCACTGTGTAGCACTAAGCTAGAAATCATATCTAAACTATTACCAGGCAGAAAGAGGAAAACATTTTCAGAACTATTAACTTTGGAGCAAAGATAGAATAGAGGTGACAGTGCAGAGAGTGAAGTGATGTTTTTCATTAGTTCTTAATTTTTGTTATTTCTAGATAAATCTAGTATTGAAAGAAGATTGTCAGCACTCTGCTATAGCACTGCAACTGTGTGAGCAGCAGCAGGCTGTACCTCGGACCGGTGGTGGGAGCTTGAGGTGATGCATTTGGGATTACAGCTTGGGTTCTGTCACCCACCCCAGGAAGCTATAGTTTCTTAACCGGTGACTACCAAAGAACAAGCAGTGATTTCAAAACGGAAAAACAATCCAAAAACTACATATTTGTCGGAAATCTGCCTTATTGGAGAAGTCATCCCCTCCCTTTTTCTTTGTAGAAGCAGAAGCAAGCGTGTTCTACTTGGCTGCCAGTTTGAACTTGGTAAATAAACATACCTTAGAACTAGAATTATCAGTACAGTTATTCTTAAGGATAATTAAAAATGCAACAAAGTGAGTGGCTATTCACTCAGTTCACCAGAGCAGTGTGTGAAATTCCATGTGTTTGCTGAGGTTTAAAAGTAGAAAATCCATATCTCATCCAGGCAGTTTGTCTAAATATGAGCATGGCATCCTTAAACAGCTCAGGAAGGAATAGCTTAAGAAGAAGCAAAAAATGGCTCTTGGAAGAAATTTTGAAATCTTCAATTTGATCTAACATGGACACATGTTAATCTTCCAAAAATCTTTCATATTGCACTAATTTATTAAAATAACTATATTGGATTTTGTGATTTAAAACTAACTGAGGCACAATGGACTTGTTTGAAATATTTTACTTGATTTACACACACCCTTTTCAGAATTCACATGTAATCTTGAGCGAACTTTTAAAAGGTCAAAAACTTGTATTCATGTTCACCTTTGCATTTTTTTTTTTTTTTTTTTTACCTATTCACCTACACCTACAGATTATCTCAGTAATATTTTGAGTTGCTGGTTGTTTGTTTTTGGTTGCATTTTTTATTGTGCATGCAGAATGTGCATTGATAACCTGTGACCCTTATTTGGGCAGTATTAGAAAAAGTATCATGAATCAAGAGATACTCTTGGAATTTCCATAGGGCCAAAACAAAGTTGGTGATCTAAAGGCTTGTTAGTAATGTGGAGTTTCTACAGAAAGTTAGTGAAAAATAAGGTTTGTTTTCTGTTAGAAAAATGGGCAGCTCTCTCCAGCCTACTGTGTATTTTCCATGTTAATCCTGACAGTTCACCAGATAGCTAGTCATGGAGAATGCAGGCAGTTAACTTAGTGTCCCTTCAGCAACGGTTCCTGCCTTGTATATTATTTGGTTTCTTTTACTTACCTGCTTGAATACTTGAATAAACCCTTCACCAGTTTTAATCCTTTTGTTTTAATCCTTTCACATAAAATAATCTGAATTCTTTGACAAATTATACAGAAGCTCTTTGGCATTAATCTAATTTTAGTGTACTGGTAAACAAACAAACATGGTTTTCCTTTGACAAAGTAATGTAATTTTTACCTTATTTATCTGTATGAAATTCCAGCAGTTAATTTGAACATTTATTTATATGATGTTTGTATTTTTAGGTCTTTAATACAGTGTTTCTACCTCTCATTTGTAACTGCATGCGTTATTCTTGAAACTAGGTAAAACTCACGGAATTGTTATGTAATAGCCTTTTTATTATTCCTGTACAAATGTATATTAAGGTAAAATAAAACTGACAAAGTGTTTCTAGGGCACAGTTGGATCAATGTTAAGTGGCTTGTCAACGAGATACTTCCTTAGTGAGTCTAGAGACTTGGCCATTCATGTCTTCTGTCTGGCCCCAGGAGTTAGATGCTCAGTGACTGTCACCCAGGCTTCCGTGGCCCGGGACTGTTCCGTGGTGATTCGTGTACTGCTCCTTGTTATTAGTGATGCTGTATTTTGTATAATATTTTTATTTTATAGTGCAATTTCATTCATGTTCTCTCAGTTATCACCTATGTTATCTCAATTGTAGGTTTATTCTGTTTCCTCTCCTGCTCCTATTTTTTTTTTTTTAAACATAGAATGACACAGGTTCAGAGAGAGTAAGTGACTGGTCTGAAGTCAGGACCTAGGCAAGTGGTCAGGCCGTGCTTTGTGATTTCCAAGTTCATTCTTCTTGCTCTTGTGTAATAAAGGCCTTGGAGTAGATGGTGTGTGTGAAACAATGAGGTCTCAACAGTAGAGAAGAACAAACTGTAAATTTGTGAGTAATGGCTCTGATTATACTTCCATTATCAAGGCTAACTGTTTTAAGAGATTTTGCCTTGATTATAGCAATAATAAACAGATGCTTTATGTTTCCATGAGTATTTTTTAATTTCATATCATGTATTTCATAAAGTAGAAATGAACTAGTTCACACATTCATGAGTAGACACCTATATTCAAGCCATAATCTGGAAATTACTGACTATACAAATATAAATAGAGGAATATTCAGTGAATTTGCTAATTCACTGGCTATTTCTGCTGTAAGGATTTGCTTTAACCGTACCATGTACTGTACTTGCAGGTATGTGCTCTACACAGTTACTGCCCGTGGTCCCTGCTCCCTTCCCTCCATACCGAGAGGAAGAGCCTGAACAGCAGTGGTCCTGCCCTTACTAGAGGCAGGTGTGGGAGCTGGGAGGAGGTTATTGTTAGGGCTGGGCTGCCTTATTCTCCGTGGGAAATAAGGAAGTGGAATTGGACACAGTGGACATGAGGGCATGGACTCAGATATCTGAAAAATCCTATGGTGATATTAGTGTTTTGAGCACAGGCTTTGGAAGAAGTCTTTCACACTTTTAATGTATAATCCTTCCTTGTAGTTTCTGTTAGCGGTCTTGAATTCTTGCTGGAATAAAGCAAGGTTGATCAATATTTTTCTAGGAGGATTACTTGGCAGGTAGTAGCTACCATTCAGAGAAATTGATGCTGTTATGTGCATCTTTGAAGTATCTGCCCACCTCTAGACAGCCTTAGACCGTTTACTTCTGGGTCCTGGACCCTTGAATCTGCAGCCAAGAAAGCTCTTGGGTCCCTCCCAGGTTTCTTTCTTGTTTGTCAGAATCCTGTGAGAATACTTTCTTTGGGGGAGGAGTCAAGATGATATTTTTCTTCACCTCAATCAGAAAACCGCATTAGAAACAATCCACCTAGAGCAGCACTGCATACAGGGAAACTATGACTAACAGCCCTGAAAAATCACAGCATTTGTGCAAGAGGTGAAGCGAAACTGGTAACAAATCAGTGGGAATTCAGTGATGAGTGATACAAAAGAAAGCCGTGGAGGCTGAGATCCTGCTGTCACCGTGACCTCGTGCAGAGCAGCCCAGCAGAGGCTCTGTGGAGGCATGGCCACCCACAGAGCAGGAGCCTGGCCTGCAGAGTCCCTGGGCACACATGGTCTGTGCAATGGAATTAATCTGTAAGTTTCTCCCTTTTCATAGAGGCCCTCTTAGGCCAGCTTTTAATGTGCCACAAAGATCATTTTTGTTGTTTACTGTGTTCTCTTTTAACAGCTCTTTAAGGCGCCTCCAGGTGTGGATCTGGAGCAGCAGAGGCGACTAAGCACTGGGCACCAAGGAGGGCCAAAGCTCAGCTGCCCTTGGCTGAGGTCTCCACATGTGTAAGGTATAGGCTGGACCCTCCTGGGCTTCATGCAGCGTGTCTTCCTCTGAGACAGTCCCTCTATTAGACAGTTTGCTTCTATCATTAGTAAAGGCCAGCTTGAACTTGTTTATTGAAAACTGTGTTCTATATCTCCTTTGGGGTTTCTGCAACTGAATTTGGCAGTGTAGCTTAGTGACCTACTGGAGTTTGTGCTCAAACTCCAGCTCCACCATGTACAGTTGTGTGTTGTTGGGCAGGTTACTTACACTCTTTCTGACTGTCATATCTTACACAGTTGGGGTGAGAATTAAATAAATTAATGAATATGAAATTCTTTGAACATGCTAGCAATGATAGTTGTTGTAGTGGTTATCATTCTATAACTCCTTTCTGTTCTTTTGTTTCGGGAGGGGGTGAGAATAATTTGTTTTGTGTTTGTGTGGGGCAAGGCCTGGATCTAGGGCTCACTGGAACATGTGTGCTGTGGCTGGACAGCTGCTGAAAGGACACAATTCCTGCATAAATTTCACTTTCCCCAGGTTACCCGCCAGGTACCCTGGCTTCACATATCCTTTAAATTGCCCTTTTAGGTCAATTTGGCTGTTCTTTTTTTTCTTTTTCTTTTTAATTTTTTTTTTGAGACATAATCTTGCTCTGTCACCTGAGCTAGAGTGCAGTGGCATCAGTCTAGCTCACACCATCCTCAAACCCCTGGATTCAAGCAGTCCTCCTGCCTCAGCCTCCCGAATAGCTGGGACTATAGCCATGCACCACCATGCCCGGCTAATTTTTTTTGTAGAGACAGGGTCTCGCCTCTTGCTGAGGCTGGTCTTAAACTCCTGACCTCAAGTGATCCTCTCACCTTGGCCTCCCAGTGTGCTGGGATTACAGGTGTGAGCCACTGCACACCTAGCCAGATGTAGGTATTCTAATGAAATTTTTATATCAATCTAATAATTACTTCATTTGATCCTCATGCCGACTATTACTTGCCTTGCCTCATTTTACAGAGGAGAAAAACAGACTTGGAGAGTAATTTCCCCAAGAGAAAATTCACACAGCTGGTAGCAGTGGGCACAGGCCACTACAGGGTCTGGACTCGCAGGTGGCCTGCAGAGAGTGCTGAGCACATGAACTCCACCCAGCCCAGAGTTCCCTTGGAAACCCCAGAAGCTCACTCCCTGTCTTTCTAACACTTCTTTCTGATATGTTCAGGTTGAGGGGAAAGAAGAAGAGCCTTTTGCCATTTGATACCCGTGTCTCCTGCTGGACCATCTTCTACCTGGCAGAAGGCAGCACGATTCAGGAAGCAGGTGCAGTAAAGCAGCTCAGCACAGCACCCTTGGGCCCGGAGCTGCAGCTCAAGAATAGGAGGTTTCAGAAACTACCCTGAACCCTCCCGGTGAAAAGGGCTTCAGTGACATGTTAATAAACTCGAGCATTTGATTGGTCCACTTTGAAGTTTTCCTGTTTGCTGGCTTATTCATTTTTGTATATGACAGTGAGACTGACTGCAGGGAATTGTTTCAGTGGGAGGGGGAAGGGGGTGTGCCCAGAGGACCCCCAACAGCCCCTGCCACATTCTGGGGCCAGGTCCTTCACTGACGGCAGCAGACCTAACCCCTTTCTCCAGGAACACCCTCCAGCTGCCCTGCCGAGTCTGTGCCCTGTGTGTCCTCGACTGCACCTCCCAGCACAGGGCCCGGCGCTGGCTGCGCAGGCACAGGAGGAGGAGGACGTGTAGAACTGCTGGTTTTGCCTCCCCATCTCAGTCCACCAAGTCCACCCAGTTGCTACCTTCTACAGTCCTGTTCTGTTCCCAGCCCAGCCCGCTGAGCTGAGGACTCTTGTGCCCACAGTGCACGTCCGCAGGAGCATTCGTTCACGTTGGGGCCACTGCCCGTTATTGCAGGGAGTGGTTGGGGAAGAAGAAGTGGCCTGAGCCTGTCTAGAGCTCCACCAAGTCATCGTAGCCCTGGCACATTGATGCCTTTCAGAAAGCAGTGACAGGAAACCTGCAGCCAGGGGTTCTGATGGGGCCCTTGCCAGAGGCTACTGCTCTGTTCCACCTGGAGGATGGCTAGCCCAGGCATTCCTGCAGGGAGCAGAAGAGCACAGGCAGCTGACGTGATAGGGAATTCTTTAAATTGAGATTGGAAAGGAGATTGACTATTCCTAGTGGAAACCTAGGATATTTTGAGCTTATGGTTTTGTTTTTTTTAAGTCCCTTTTATAGTCTAAGAAAGAAAACAGCAGGCCCATACACCTGTCTCCTGAGAACTTTCTAAACAAGTATGATGAAAAAACACAAAAGATTTGAACACATTCATTGTAAGTGTTCATGAGATAATAAAGAAGGCTGGGCACGGTGGTTCATACCTGTAATCCCAGCTCTTTAGGAGACCAAGGCAGGAGGATCACTTGAGGCCAGGAGTTCAAGACCAGCTTGAGTGACAGAGTGAGACCTTAATTAATTAATTAATTAAAAGATATATTTGTGGCTGTTCAGTAGAATAACAAGTATTTCCCCCCTATCTGTAGTGTCTGATGGGTCTGGAAAATGAGAATTGTTATAGGGGGTGGGAGAAAGATATTTAATTTTATATTCCATAATGCTGATAATATTAGGAGATAAACATTAGGAGAAAAGGAAATTCCCTGTGCTCCTGACGTGCATGTGCCCCGTGCCAACAAGCAGCATCGCAGGAAGCAGCAGGAGGGCCTGGTGTGCTGTGATGGCCCTGCCACGTGCCCTGGGCAAGACGCCTTGCTCCTTGGGCTCCCTGTCCTGGCTGTTGAGGGTAGATAGTGACAGATTGTGCCTCTCAGGTTCCTGTGAGGGTTGAATGAAATGCTACCTGGAAAGTACACGCAACCAGCAGTCCCACCTGTGGGACTGTCCACACCAGCTGGGTGGCCAGTGGGAGGAAGAGCAGAGCAAGGATCAAGTGACTCGAGGCTTGGGGACCAGTTTCTCCTTAAGTGCTCTTTGTCACATCTGGCTTTTTAAGATATAAACCCTCCTTTGCACTAAAAATGTGCTAAAATAACTTAGACAAATTGATCCTGAATACATATTTATTAACAAAGGAGCCTATAGCATGACAGTGTCAGTTCAAAACATGAAAACTGGGATATATTTGGGAAACAATGCTTACTTTATAAGAAGCTTGTTAAAAAACTCACTGGGGCCAGCCACAATGGCTCATACCTGTTAATCTCAGTAATTTGGGAGGCTGAGGTGGGAGGATTGCTTGAGGCCAGGAGTTTGACACCAGCCTGAACAACAGCGAGACCCTGTCTCTACAAAAAATAGAAAAATTAGCCAAGGGTAGTGACACACACCTGTAGTCCCAGCTATTTGGGAGGTTGGGGCAGGAGGATTGCTTGAGCTCAAGAGTTTGAGGTTGCAGTGAGCTATGATGATGCCACTGCACTCTACCTTGGGTGACAGAGCAAGAACCTGTCTCAAAAAATAAAAATTAAAAAATTGAAATGGTAAAAACTATTCTTGTTTGTAGGTGGTACAACAAGATGCAGTGGACCCGGGTGGTAGTTTGCTGGCCCCTGGCATATAGAATAGACAGATAATCAGAAGAGACAAGACACCGAAAATGCAAAGGATAGAGACGTATCCGTGGCTATGCTGGAATAACATTTTCCTTCCCCATCCATGATGTTCAGTTAATCCAGTGAACATGGAAACA